ATAAACACAAGTGATAATTGTTAATTTTTATTATATTATAAAAAAGTATTTTTATTCCAATTAATATTTCGAATCACCTATATTTCATTTATAAAAACAAAATTAATTAATTAATTATAATAAAGTCTGTTTTCTATTTAGCGATATTCTAAAAATATAACAAAAAAAAACTAGACCAAAAATATTAAACCATTATTTACTATACTCAATATCGCTAATTAAAAACCATTAACTATTAATAAAATTGTCATTAATTAAAACTAATGTTAAACAAATCCTAAGCATTGACTTTTTTCCAAATTACTTGTTGTCGTTTTCAATTTAATTCAAATGATAATTTGACATGTCTACTCTATCTAATATAACATTTTATTCATTTTGAATAACCTGGTTGACATAGTTTATTTCGTCGTCTTCACATTTCAAGACCAACCTATTCTTCGTTTTGGTTTTATAAATTTTTTAGTTGTCAAGCAATTTTGTTTTTTGTTATTTTTAGCACACTTTTTTAAAAAAGAACAAAAAAATAAAATACAAACCATTTTTTAGAAAAACCACTTTATTTTTATTATAAATTATAATACTGTTATTATAAATAATAGAAAAACCCAATATCGTTAATAAGAAAACAGACTTCATATTTACATTTTTTATAATTAATATTTTAATATTTTCAACATAACGAAAATAATTCTTTTTGTTACTTGTGGTGTTTTGATTAATTTCGTGTGTTTTTCATATAAAATTTAGATACACTTTTTATTTTAATTTAATAATAAAATTATAATTAAGTCGTGTTTTTCGTTGTTATCGTAAAATCAACGAATTAAAAAAATAAACTGTAGTTCAAAAGTCTGTACCGCCGTATTTATAGAACTTCTTAAAGTCCCGTTTTTTATTTTTTATTTTTCCTAAAGAACAAAAAAACAAAAAATCGAAAGTACAGACTTAATTTTGAAAAAAATACCAATCCCGTTCAATTATTTTTGTACAATTTCGGGAAAATATTGGAATATTAGCCAGCCTTTTCCAAAAAACCCGATCCCGTTATTTGATTTGACCTCAACTCGATACTGCACAACACAAACTCAACGTTGTTGGTCAAATCGCACAACTCTAAACACATTATTAAATTTGGATGTTGTTGTTTTGGTCATTCTGTAACTAAATACCAGTTTCGTTAAAAAATAAATTTTAATTAAAAACAAACATGTGGTTTTGTTCTTTGGATAAAAGAAAATGAAATAAAGAGTTTCAAAGAAAAAAGAATTTTGAGCAAACATTTAATAATTTAAAGTTTTGATATTTCAGTTATTGTTGTGACAACACAATTAGTATATCAATATTAAGCGATACTTTCGCGTTGTTATTTATTTTATTTATTAATAAATGAAGACTCGACTTTGAAAATTTTTGGCATTTGATTCATCAACTTTTTATAATGAAATGCACTTTTGGGATCATTCACGTGTTTTTCAAAAACAAATTTTTTTATTTAAAATTTTATAATGAAATATCTTAAAAATTCTTCAAGTAAAAATATTATTTGAAGATTGTTTTTCTCACTTTTACTTGGAAAAAAATAATGTAATTTTGAAACAAAAACGATTCTTAAAAATAATAAACAAAATAAATGCAAAAAATTCGGGACATTTAAGTACAGACTCTTGAAAACCAGTTTATAAAGTCGATGAAAATAAAAACACACAAAAAGAAAACTTGTTAAATGTCAATTAAATTATTTGTTTCCATCTATAGCATAGGATTAGACTTAGTTTGATTGTAAAAATCATAGATTGCATTCACATCATTTTCATCATCTACATTTTCCGAATCATAAAAACAAGGATTGTCATCATGATCAACAAATAAAGTCACTTTAATGTTTCTGGTGAGTAAATCTATAATGTCTTGTTTTAGTGATAAAGTCTGACTTATTGTGATATCTAAATAGACTTCCTTGAGGGTTACTAATGAAAACAAATTTCTTAAAAAAAATTCGTTCGCCATAATACGCATCATGTCTTATTGTCAACCGTCTTAAATTTGTGAGCATAGAAATATTGTTACCAATAAAAGTGTCACTGTCTTCAGTAGACAGTTCAGTTACAAGTGGTAATAAATTAATGTCGTGTGGCCTGTCAGTAGTTCTTCGGTCAAAAATAAGTGCTTTTAAATTTGGGAATAAGATTATTAAATTTTTAAAAGTAATGAAATCATTATAACAATCGGTTTGAATATTAAGGGTTTCTACTTTTGGGAATAACTTTGACATTTTAATTAATGTTTTTTCATTATATTCAATGTTGTATGGAGTTGTGTAAAACGATTTTATAGCATCAAGACACAATTTGTTTACAAATACAAGATTAACAATTGATTCCAAATCCATATAAAATACAACATTCATGAGGTATATCCTTTCAAGTCGCATTTATAATTTAAATTGAAAGTTGTCTTATTATTTATAGATGGTCCTAAAGCTTAGACATTTTATGAGGTTACATAAATACATTGAATAACTAAATTTGTTTTAATTTAAATTATATATTATAATTTTTTGTTTTAGTTAAATGGGCAATAGTTGACTGATTATATGTTATTATAGCTATTCGGCGACTTTTAAGTTTTTTTAGAAATAGGCGGCTTATTGATGATATATAAAAATGCCGAACAGCCATTAGCTTTTTTAACACAAAATATAGTTAGTTTTTTTATTACAACTAAAGTCTGTTTTTAATAAACAAATGTTTTTAAAAAATACGACACATTAATTTACTATATTTGTTTTATTATATTATAATATATAAAGTCAATCCAGAAACTTTATTTATTATGTTAACTTTATTTGTTTTATATAGTTGTTTTTTATATAAAATTGTTACAACTTACGAGTGAAGATGAGTACAAAAACATTATATTGTGAAATTGAAAAGTTGAAAACAAAGCGACGAACAGCAGCTGAGGAATAGCAGCTGACGCATATGCAGTGGAGGTCAAAAAGAGAGGCTTGTATTAATGATTTTTTACAACCAATCATTTTGAAATGGTTTTATGAAATGAAATATTTTTCATAAATGTTTGTTAAATAAAAGGTTAAAATTGTGTTTATCTGAGTTTTATTATATAACAAATGTGATATTTTTGTCATTCACCATATCATACTTTTGGCCTTGAATTTATATACACTAAATAATTTCAAATCTATAGTCAGTCTGAAAAAGTTGTCCACTCTTTAACGTTGTTCAGGCATTTTTGGACCATTACAACTGGAATATTTCGGGAAACAATTCGAAACACTCCCAAAACATTGTTTCATAATTTTTACCGGTATTTGATCGTATTTACCTAATAATGACTCTATAATTCAAATAAATTGTAATTAAATAAAATATTTGGCAAAATATATATCATTAATTAATGACACACTTATTCTAAAAAAATACTAAATGATGTCACACTTCATAATAAAAACTTTGTATAACACTTATGAATTGTTTTATTTTTGAACTTCTAAGATGGTGATTAATATTGCAAAATAATGAATTTTAGTCAACAATATAAATTATTATTATTCAACACATTTGTAGAATATATAATTATTACAATTGTTATTACCAATAATATATAATATAGTTTATTTATTAATTTTATATAGTAGAATTAAAACTAATATATATAATTTAAATTAACTATGATTATAGTATAAATTACATTAACACACATTTTTTCTTTTCTTTGTTTTTGTATATACCATTTTTTGTTTTTTTAAGTGCTTCGTCTTCTTCGGATATTTCAAAGTTTGTTTTTTCTTGACTCAAATTAAAGTTGGCGATCAAATTGCAAATCATTTCTTTAACATTAATGTTACTCTTTGCTGAAGTTTCGAAGAACAGGGCTTTAATCTCTTCAGACAGAATTTGCCCTTTTTCAAAAGGTACTTGTCTTGAACTCTCCAAGTCACATTTATTTCCACAAAGTGCGATTGGCAGAGGTTTCATCGTTTTTTCTTTTCGTGTGTTATTAACACGTGCGACTAAATTTATGACTTCATCGAATGATGGTTTGTCCGTGATTGAATATGCAATGATACAAAGGTCACTGCGCATAATGTAACAATCTGTAAGGGCACTAAACTCTTCGGGATAGTATGTGTCGATGAATGTAATGTCAAAAACAGTCCGGTCCAGTGTTAAAAAGTATCGAAAAGTATCTTCAATGGTTGGATCATATATTTCATTAAAGCTATTATATACACATTGATATAAAATGCTTGTTTTACCAACGGCTTGCACTCCAAAAAATGCTAATGATTAAATTTCTCGTGTTTTTATTTTTGTGCTGTTTATTCATATTAATTTTAATTGGATTCAAAGTTTTTGATGACGATGTTTTTTTAAATTAATTAAATAAAATTTAATTGATTATAAATTATAATTTCTTTGTAAAACATTTGTTTGTTAATATCTTGATAAAATTTTGATTTTCAATGTTATTAATAATTTAAAACAATTCCTCTTAAAATGTGTAAAATTGAGCAAAATAAAGCGACTTAGTAAAACAGTTTTTCAAAGAATAACAATATTTTCAACAATTTTAGAAATAGTTTGATAAAATATTAAAATAATATAAATTGTTTAATTTCTTTATTTTTTTATGTGTGATTTGTAATAAAAGAAAAATAAAAAAACAAAAAGGTAATAAAAAACAATCCATTTACAAAAAGCATACAACATAAATATATATATCTCATCAGCAATAAACAATGTACACTTTTTTCTATTTTACCTTCTTCGTAATTGTTTCATCTTTTTTTCCATTTTTTGCTTTATCAACCACTTTTTATACATTAAGTTGTACAACATATTCAATTCGAATTCTATTGTCCTCAACATAATTTCATTTTTGACTGCTTGAGTCGTGTACTCACACAGTATTTGTTTTTTTATATTATTAAATATTAAACAATTACCAAAAATCCTTTCTTTTTAAGAATTGTTTTTATGTTTTTTTTAAATTGCCCAACCTCTGTTTATAATTAACAGAACTTTTCTCTGTTGTTGCAAACTATGTCTGGATGTGAAAAAACAATTCTTTTAATTTGTCTAAGTTCGTTTAAATTAAAAACCCAAAAATTCAAAAAAATTGTAATTAAAACCAAATAACAAAAAATAAACAACTTTTGTAAATAAATAAGGTTATTGGAAGATACAGGTTTTCCAGAATGACTTTAATTTGTTTGTTTTTATTTCATTTAAATAAATAATATTAAAAATTATATAGAAAAATAATACAAATTAAACATTTAGTTATTTAACAATAAATTTGTAAAAACTCAAAAAATGATAATAAACTCAAAAAACAGAAATTTAATAAAATAACATGACAAACTTAGAGCCAGTTTATTTGATGAATGTTATTCTTTACCTCAACATATCCGACCTAAGTAATTTTTTTCAAAGTCTCTCCATCGACAATTCAAAGTTGTTTTATGATGAAAACGAACCCATGGACTGTTTCGGACTCCAACAACCCAACACGATCTTTATATATAATAACTCAAATTCTTCCAAACATTGAAACGTTGACTGTTCCAAAAAATTGTCGTTTTACTGATAATGTCGTTTTCAAAAAGGTGACACAACTAAATTACACCAATTGTGTTTTTTCCAATTTCACTTGCTCATAAAATCCAAATTATTACTTTTATTATTATTCGCATTTTTTGATTATTGTTACCAATTTAGTTTTTTGTTGTTGTTAACCTTAACAAAAATTTCAAAATGTAACTTAAAAACGTCCGATAGAACATAATTAATAGGGTGTTAATTAGGATATTTTTCATATGTATTTACATAATAATTATTTATTATAACTTGAGAAACGAGGAATCAAAACTCAAAACAAGATAAAAAACGAAAACAATCATCCATTTTTGGTTATTAAAAATTAGAGTAATGTTATAGATAATAATGCTGTGTAAAATTGTAAAAATATCTGATAGAATCATTAATGTTTTTGTTGATGAAACTCAAAAAACAAATCCAAAAAATATGAATTTTTTGGATAAAATTTGCCAGATTTTCAAAAAGATGAGTTTATTGTTGATCTTATAAATTTTGCGTCTTTATTAAGGGGTGATTCGTTATTATAACGTACTTCTTAAGATAATTATAAAATTGTACAATTATTTATATTTATTTTTTTAAATAGTTCTTACTATTATTTCAATTTTTCCACTATTTAAATAAACAATTTATGTTGGTAAAGCCAAAAATAAGTTGGTAAAAATGAGAATAACAAGAATTATTATACAATTATAATAAAAGTATTATTAAGAAGAAAACAATGTTTTTTATTTTTATTTTTTTAGAGTTTTAAAATATAAAATAATTTAGATAACTAATAATTAATAATAAAATAAACTATAATATTAATTATTTAATTTAATTATTTTCAATAATTAACATAATATAATCATAATATTTAATATTCATAAATAAAAATAATGATATTTAATTACATTTTTTATAAAATAGAAAACTAAAAAAGACAAATAGGAATCTTAAAGCTGTTTGTCTAAATATGTGTTGACAAGTCCCGTTTCGAAGGTGTGTAAGAGCTGCCGGAGATTCTATAATTATTGCTAAGCAAACTCATGTGCAAATGTTAGGCAAATTTGAACAAATTGTACAGTTGGTTACTTCCCACAAAATGATGGAAGATGTGGAATTTGCGATACAACGCGTAATGGGGTATTTAACCACATCTACAATTTAAATAAAAAATAGATGTGCAGAGCATGCTCATTGTTATGCAAACAGTTCGATTTAAGACCACAATTTTGAAAGTACGAAGTGTGTTTCATGTACAACATGGTATTACCCAGACAGCAATTGGAAGTGAATATTGTGTGACAGTATATGTAGTAATAAGTGTGACACAACAACATGTATGTGCACTGGGTGGGTATGTCAAAATGGGATGAACTGCATCAGCCGTACTGTTTTCAATGTGGATTGAGATATGGACAGCAACTATGAGAATATATGTACTGTATGCAAAAACAACAAACATTTATTGATGGTGTTTGTGTTAATTATGTTGATGCGACAAAGCTGATGATGTGACTAAAAACTTCAAGTCGTGCAGTCAGGACAGTCCAATCTGGCGGCATTATAACACTTGAGACTTTTAGTACCTTTTACTTAATATACGTAACATATGCAATTTATGCATCACTCAAAATGTGAAACGCACCATTAACAATTACACATTTCTTCAATTTAATAAAGAGAAAAGACGCCAACAATGCAACACAACATACAACAATGAAAACTGTTACAACACACTGGGTATTGAAAGAGCTGCTTGTTGAACTACGTCTATGTCACTTGTGAACACTATAACACAATGTGTGCTGAGTGTTAAGTTTGTGCAGAAAGAACTTGCAATGTTTGCAAAGCACTGTATTACCCAAAGACATATCATTCTTTTAAGTGTCAAAGCTGTGACACAACATGTGATGGGAAGTGCAACACAACAAAAGGATTATGTATTGGGTGTTTAACCGGTTCTGTGCCAGACAATTATGCACAGCTTCAATATGTCACTTTAAAAACTTTTGATATGAATTGTGCAACATGAAAGGTAGACGGATAATTGGCCACAGTGAAAATGGCCACATTATTCAATAAAAGTTCAATAACAATTCAACTTTTTCTCATTTGTTTTTTAAATAAAAACGATAGACTGAAAAATATATGAATGGAAAAAAACAGAAATTGCTTTTCTTGAAAGTCAAAGACGCTATCAGATGCCTTACATAAACGGCTGCAAATTCAAACCCAAAAAAAGGATCGAATAAAATTTAAATGTTCTCACAAAGGTTGTAAAGTTAGAATCGAACTGGTTAAAACCGAGAGTGGAAATTATAAATACACCTTTTTAAATGATGCAATTCACACATATTATTATGTCGATTATTTAAATGATTTGTTTCGAATACGTTTAAAAGAAGCGGTTAAAAAAGAAGATTCCAAAAACAAGACAACAAAACAAATAGTAGTAGAGCATTACATTCAAGGAACAACTCGAAGAATTTCTGTCTTTGAAAAACAAGTCAGAAAGGAAAGACAGCCATACTCTGTAACCAAAACACAAGAAATAGAATTTCCGAAATAGAAAAAGAAATTGTATTGTATCAAGATGATGATATGATAATTTTTGGTAAACAAGATTATGTTGAGTTGTTAAAAACTTAACCATTTTTATTTTTTGATGGCACATTTAGATCACGTCCGTGTTTGTTTATTTAAATTTAAAATAATAATATAATACAATAACAAATAGCTCTTTTTTATCAATTATATACTATACACGGGCTTGTCAGTGGTGAATGTTTTCCGATTGTTTTTGGGTGTCTTAAAGGAAAAAGTTCTGAAGTGTATTATAACTTTTTAGAATCTCTGAAAATGTTGTTGGTATTGATTTTTTAAACAGAGAAATGGTTTTATGGGAAATTTTGAGTTGTGTTTTATTAAGAATTTGTTTCCTAAACAAGTCAAAGTAAAGTGTTGTCACTTTCATTATTGCAAGAATATATTTGAACAGTTTCTTATTGTGAATTTAACACAGTTATAAAAATGGAAATGAGTTCAAAAGTTAAATCAAATAATTAT